ATTGTGGACATTGCATTATGGCCACAAAGGGGGTGCTCGTAAGCAACCATTTGAACCATAAAATCATTAAAGTGCCCCTATTATGGGTAATGAAAGGTTCATATTTTGGTTTTGGGAGTCCCCAACAACAGGTTGACATGCATGCAAGGTCAAAAAACACTTTCATTTTCTTATAATAAGCATTTATTTTTACCTTATTTGCTCAACGTCTCCCAAACGGTTTGTTTAACGATTCATTTTTCCAAACCCCTCCTTCGTGACGCTAATCTGTGGTGATTGGTCTGATTGGTCTCATTTTCATTTCATAATGCCTGATAAAGCAGCGTTTGTAAGCGCAGTGCTGCTTTGTGTACAGTGTTACCAGTGAAACCGCTATTCTACCGATTCCAAAAATGGCACCTAGTGGCAAAGAATGATTTAGCATTTTCTTTCAGACCAACTCGAAAAGACCAACAAGTGGGCGGGCAATATGCTAATGTTTCATGTTGACGTCAACATGAAACGGCTTGGGATTCGTTTTAAAAACGACTCGTTTCAGTGATTTAGAGTCGACTCTTTCTTTTGAGAGACACTAACTTTATACACGGTGCACTTTCAGATTTAAAACTTTGCAGGATGTTTTCATTCACGTAGAGCTGTGTTACACACTGCATGAAAGGTAATTTTCAAAAATCCATAATAGGGGCACTTTAATGGGACACCCTGCGGTATTGTTGGACTTTGCAGATGGGCATGAGCAAAGGTTACAAGACCACAACTCCACATAAAGTGAGCCATTTGGGACAGAGCCATAATGTACATTATACATTTATCATCCATCACTATGGCTGCTTTTATTCTAAGAGCAAACCTCTCCTCTAAATGCAGGTATTGGGTCAATTACAGAAAGTAAAAAACTTGCCTGTAAGTGTTTTTTTTTTTAGGTGAATGACCCCTCTCTTGTTGACTTAGTGGATAATGAAAGTATTGTGATTTTTGACAAGGAAATAAATAAAGTATATCTAAATAATACAAATGAATTCTTCTGCAATGGGGTTTGCAAAACTAATCTGCAGCATTATGAACATTATTAGCTAAATGGATTTGAGACTTGACATGATAAGTAAGACTAAGTGACTTTTCTGATGTGTTTCCTATCTTCTTTTATGTTAGTTCTTCGGTGTTTGCCACTAACGTATGTACTTCATAGGTTTTGTTGACCGATATAATGGAAGTTAGTATCATTTTAGAACTAGGTCTTAATCTTTAAAGTGCACGTGGATTAGGCTGAGTGTAAGTCTTCGTGTGCATGGCTCAGAGGTGAATTTGTGTGGTCGGGTGACTTTATCTGAGGATGTGGACTTATAAGAAAGCAGGTCAGTGCGCATTCACAGTCCTGCCTATTTGATCAACTCCTTATATTACCCTCAGTAGATCATGAATCACACATAAAGATATATATGTTTGTGTGTGTTCATGCATGGGCCTTAACATGGTAAACTGGATAAAACATGCACGAGTTAACACGCACGGGTGCGTGGATGGTTACAGTCTTTGTGCTTTTCAGGTACTGATTCTAGACATACTAGAGTTTTTTTTAATATACTGTACTCAAAGAGCAATGTTTTATTACAGGTATATTTCAGGTTCAAAACAAGTTATCCTCAATAGACAGCATTTATAGCCTTGTGTTGACTAATACAAAAAAAAGTATTTTGTTTTCTTAAAAAAATCAAGGTGATGGTAAGATATTTTATTTTATTTATGCATTTAGCAGACGCTTTTATCCAAAGCGACTTCCAGTGCATTCAGGCTATACATTTTTTACCAGTATGTGTGTTCTCTGGGAATTGAACCCACAACCTTTTGTGCTGCTACCACTGAGCCACAGGAACATATTTACAATGGAATACAATAAATTACATTGTCAAAATGTATTATTTGGACTATGAATCTGTTTGCCTAATCATTTTACAGTCCTTTTAAAGTTTTATGCATTATGTTGTCATTTTAAATGGGATATTTTGTCACAGAAAAGGGTTGTATATGATTTTTTCACACTAAACTCTTAATTAACACAAATCTTGTAGCTATACTTTTAAAATAGTGTGTATTTTAATGGATTGGCCCCATTTACTTCCATTGTGCTTCACTTTATCCCAGTTTTTTCTTTTTTAAGAAAAAGAGGGATCATTCAAAATACATTTTTGTGGCAATCAACATTATTCCACAAATGCTGTTGATTGAGCTTAACATGTACTGAATCCAGAATATATCATTAACTACAAATACAAATACATTATTTATACAAATAAGGCTTTTAAGTTCTAAAAATGTCAAGTAATGGCATCAGTTTGTATTGAGAAAGTCACATGTTTATGCAGTACATAAGATTTCAAAGTCTCCTCACTGATTCTCCATCTAATACCTCCTTCAGACCTGTGCAACAACATCCTCCAAATGCTTGAAAACAAAACCCAAACCCTGTTATGTTCTGTTTTAAATCCAAAGGCAATATTACAATCAAAACATTCCCTTGTTGCACATGAACGCAGTTATGGGGGCTGTCCTAGACAGGATTGTTTGGGTTACCCCACTGTGACCGTCTGACTTCGGGCTCTGAGTGAACTATATTTGATATCATCAGCCCATGTGGCTGTGGAAATGCTGAACTCTGCTGACATGTGCTGTCGCGTTGCTCTATGCTTTGAGCCACACTAAACAGCCTATAAACAAATCAGGACGATTTGATGCGCTTGTCTGTCTCGCTAATCAATCCACGGCACCACAATTAACCTACATAAAAGATCATAACAGGATTACCAGATGAATTTTCACACGTACAGACAGCTTTTGTTGTAATGACTGCAAATCTGTTGTGTTTTTAGGGTTGTTTTTCCCCAAAGATCCATTTAAACAGTTTTGACATGAAGCCACTCTCACCACAGTTTCAATGCCAATTACATTCTCTATTACATCTTCAAGATTTAAAGCAGTATTCCCATTTACCCTGATTTCACGGACCGTCCTCTCATGCTTCACCAGAACAATGGATCTTTCAGAGGGTGTAAATTTCTCTCCCATCCATTTATTATGAATGAGACAGGAAGAGAGATGCTTGGCCAGGTCTGCTCTTCCTCACTGGTTTACTGCACACTAATAAATAATAGCGATCCAGAAGCCAGCCAGCTATAGCAGCAGAGAGTGTTCCCAGTGTTTCAAACAGCAAATGCATGAAAGGGCACATTAATGTACCACTGTGGAGCCAATAAACATCTCACCAGAGTTTTACTGGAGCATTTTGGTCACACTGTTGGCTCAAAAGTGAAAGGAAATGCTAACTGCAAGCTTGTTGTTATGGTTCCCTTGAGTGTCTGCTAACAATCTTAAAACCACTGGTTTGTTAAGAAAGCTTTGTTTTGATGCTAGACCTGTTTACAGTTCTGGTGACAAGTGCTTTGGCTACTTTCTAAAATAAATTTTTAGCAAAATACTAAGTAGAAGTGAATCAGAGACTGTCAAAGAACAGTATTTTGTTTTTATTAAACGAGTCACATGATGCAGGAGACTTTTTCTGTTGCTCTTCATTATTGGTTTTCTTGTTTGTCATGTTTTTGGATGTACTGTTACTGGGACAGTACAGATTTTGCTTCAAGCTATTGTTGCTACAAAAGACACAAATCTAGCTTGACCGTAAAGCATTTTTAAAGGGACAATAAACTGTAGGACAGTTGTTTATGCGTGACACTGGATAGTGGATTAAAAAAGAATGCAAGGTCTAAAGATGTGTCTTTAGAATCGTGCTCGAAGTGCTGCAAGAAACGAGAGATGCAAACTTGTTTACATACTGTGCAACTGCATGTCACAGGTTTGGCCATTCAGTGTGATAGTATGTTGATCTTTGTGGTATGTGAGCCATCTTCTCTCAGTATGTATCAGCCAACTGTTAATAAGATGCAGCTAATCAAATATTCCAACTGCTAATTAGTGGATTAATGCTCTTATCAAGTGTGGCCATACAAGTGGAGGTCATTAAATTTCCTGGCTGAGAAAATGGTTGCGTAACCTCAGGCTCCCTGTGGTAAACATTTGAATCTTGTCATCTGTTGACTGTGAGATTGTTACATGCTAAATTTGGAGCTTTGAAAAAAAAAAAAAAAAACGTAAATCTGCATACTTAAAATTTTGCTCTTGAACTAATGAATAGTACATCTGACATGTTTAAAATGATCATATCAGGGTCACAGAGCAGGTTGTTTTATTGTTAGTTATACCAAAGACCCCCAAATATGACGATAGCCTCAGGAGAGACTCCTTTCCTTAAATGCATTAAATATTTGTAATATTATAAATACACACATTGTTTGCTTAAATAATTAGCAAACAAATAATTATATCTGTTAAATATTTACTTTGTGTTCAGCTGATCATGTATCTTTTTCCATCCCACTAGTAGAGTATAGTTAAATAGTTCAACCAGTTTTTAGAAAGCAGAATGAAACAGTAAAAATGTTATTTTTATGTTACCATATTTCATATTTCATATTTCATTTTATTTTCTATGGACCCCCTAGCACCCCCTTGTGGCCTCCTGTGGGTCCAACCTGGCCTAGAAAAAGCCATTTTATTCCACATAGAGTGGGTCACATAGTCAGAGAAGGCACCATTTTGAGATCACATGACCAGTCAAATACTATTGCATTCAAGGTATTTTTACATTTGGTTCAGTCATAGGCCATTACTTCACTCTAAGACCACTGTCATATTGGCCAGCAAAACATAAACAAAAATGACTTATTCTACTTTTAAACACTGTAAATATACTGCTTAAGTGTTGCAAAATACAAAATGACAATTTTATTGTGATCCAAACTGAGAATTTATAAACCTTTTTGTATCTTTTAAATACTTTCAGTTTGCCATATGAACAAACACAATATTATTGCAAAACTAAGTTGAATATGCATTTGAACTAGACCCCAAATGTTGCAGTACTGACAGTTTTGTGCTTCACTTTCCAGCCTTGGTGATAACTGATGGACCGCAGGATAAGTCTGGCCTTGCGGATGAGGTGGGGAGTGAAGATGACCTGTACAATGAGTTTCGCAGCTCCTCCAACCGATTCGGACACCCAGGAGGAGGAGGAGAACAGCTGGCCATAAATGAGGTAGAGCATACAGGCTGTCTATGTGTTACTGTTTGTGTTCACAGATTGTGCTTGTTTCTCTGTCAGTGGCAAGACATTCATAGAAGCATGTTCGTTTGCATCTGTGTTTGAAACCCAAGGCCTTACAGTGCCAAAACAAACTGTGTTTTTGTATGAAGATAACTGGTTACAGACAGGCTTTCAAGGCACCACTGTAGTATAGTATGTAACTGTGCTCTTGATTCAGTGTTTAAACATGTTGGAATTCAGTCACTGTTTTTTAATAGTCTACTACCCATCTGTTCCTCTCCTGAGGCCTGAGACCAGCAGAATGACCTGCTGCCACTGTACTTCTCCCATCATCTTCAGCATGACTGAATATGATTCCGTGTTGTAGGAAGATGCTGTTATCTACAAAGAATTTCAGAGAATATGCAGAGTGTTGGAGTTTGATTTATGACTGTTTGGCATCATTTTCGAATGCTGCTCAGTAACCATTCAGCATTTTAGTTAGAAACAGCAGAAAAATCTAATCAACAGCCGGGCCTCTGGGAGCTTTGGTGTGCACTGAGCTGCACAGAAGCCCTGTGCTGATGCTGTTGTTATTGTTTTTAGCCCTTCTGTCCTGGTATAATATCCAGTAAATAATAAACAGGCAAAATTAAAGTGTCATTGTTTTAATAGGGAGCTAAGTCAGGCATCACTGTTACTATTGCTCAGACATTTGAAGAACCACTAGTATTAAAATTTAGTGTGTAAATCGTCCTGCACTGTTTGTGCTACAGACATGACTGATACAGTACCTCAAATCATGGTAATAATCATTTTCACCTGGAGATCTAAGCTTGCATTATAGAAGGGACCTGAGGCATATTTAGCCACCAGAATATAACCCCTCAGCAGTTCCTGGTTCGAAACCAGCAAGCTCTTAGGGTCAGTGTTTAGTCAGTTTTTCCAGCCTGAAATAATAGTTTCCTTCAGATTCAGTACCAGTTTTGGAGGAAAAACACCAGTAGAGATTTAGACCACTAAGCAAACACCCACAGTAGCCGAGTTTACGGCAAAACATATATGGTAACACTTTAGTATAGGGACCAATTCTCACTATTAACTAGTTACTTATTAGCATGCTTATTATTAACATATTGGCTGTTAATTAGTGCTTATAAAGCACATGTTCTGCATGACTATATTCTACATCCATAATCCTACCCAATAACCAAACTTAACAACTATCTTATTAACTAGTAATAAGCCGCAAAAGTCATTGTTATTGGTTTGTTAATGTTATATTTATATATATATATGTATATATATATATATATATATTGAATTTTTTTAAATTAAAAATATCTAACATTTTCGTTGTTTTAAGCATAAACCAAAATAAATGTAGTTAATAAATCGGAAGTAGCAACACACCTTTTCTTCTGTAGTGTGATATACATCTGAGTAAAATGGATTATAATAGACTTGGTTCTATCCATTGAGTGTTGACTGGATGGAGGCAGATATGAATGGAAACTTGCAGCCGGTTGTAAGAATGGGAGTTTATGTGGACTAAATGACTGGAGAGTCTGATATATGTCCCATACAGGAAAGATCCAGTTATGGCATTTTGACTAAAACATAGCAAGGTCGAAAAATTGTACAAAATAAAACACATGCACAGATGAAATGTTCGCAGTTAAATCAATAAAATGCATTTTGAAAATACAGTTGATCGAAATGAAATGATTTTCCATTTCATGCTGACTGAAAAAAACAATAAGCTTCAGAAAAGAGAAATAAAGAACACATTAAAAAACATTTTTTTTTCAAACCATTATCTTGTTTTGCACTTATTTTGCTTCAAGTTTATATTGTTTCAAAGATATTTAAGAATATTTTTACTAAAAAAACAAGACAAAAATACTGATTGCCACCCAGAACACCTTATTAATGGCATAGCAACACATTAAAAACCATTTAGAACACCTTAGGTACTGCATTGTAGCAATCTGCAACAAAGTTTTATATACTGTAGGCACAACTCTCAGTGAAATGGCAAGTTCTGTCATGAAGCTCTAGATGGCACAGGCTGATGGGTCGTTAATGCAGATTGATGATATTCACAAAGCTTAACTGCTTGGCACAAGCTGATTTGTTCATGTTGCGTACGTAGCCAGTGATCTTACTGCTTTACATTTAAATGGCTGATTAGTGTTCACTAGAGCAGTTCGCAGCGCATGGACCTTCAGAGATCTTCTGAAACCCTCCACCTCCCCAGCTCCACCTGTATAGATCTACTACAGGTTATTATGATGCTACTTGTGCAGCAGCAGTCTTAAATACTCACAGCACCGTATTGGCGTATGTATTGGCAGTAGCAAGTTCTTGTGTTTGCTTTGCAGCAGCAATAATCTACAACAACAACAGCAGCGTAGCAGATCTATTCTGCCAAGACCAAATACAGTAACATTGTCATATCATTACCATGCTAAAATCATCCGAGAGTTGTCATGATAGAAATATATTTTCCACTGAAAATATAAAAATCTAGTTTTAGTGTTAATTTCTTGTGATGGGGGGACAGCTTGTTTCAGTGTTGGGGAGAGTGAGTGATTATTTTGCTTTTGTGTGTGTGTCAAAAAGGCACAGCTCTAGATTTAAAAGGAAGTATCGTGCTGTGTGACACTGTGACGCTGGGGATGGGGCTCTGCGGCCGAGAGAGAGAGAGAACAGCAGGTTAGTGGAATCAGAAGCCTTCACTAATCCCATTAGCTGTGCACAAATTGATGCACGGGAACGAGCCGAGTGAGGATGACTGCGTTAATCCTACCTCACTGACACCGGACCTGGTCAGGAAATGAAAGCTCAAGAGGTGTTTGGCACCTCATGCAGTCTTTAATTAATATCTCCAGCAGCATTACCGTCACCGTAGCACTGCCTCGAGAAGACGAGCAGGATGTGCTCACTTTTACACGGGAAGTGTGGTTGACGGGCGGCCGGCTGGGCCAATGGAGAAGCGCCAGGATAGAAAGGATGTATTGTGCTGCATTCTCTCGCATCCTTTCCCCCACAGCCGCCTCCCTCCTGCTGCCGCTAAGGCCGGCCTCCGCTACTCTGGTATCCTGGATACGCTTCACAGCACCGCCAGCCGATTGGCTGGGAAGGATGAGAGGAAAAAAAACAGGAGCAAAAACAGTCAATTCAGGGAGATGGACGGATGGTTTTTGCTAGAGCCGCTAAGCACAGATGCAGCAACCATTTCCGCCCCTCAGCTTTGCGTTTTGCAAAAGAGACGGTGAAAAGAGAAGGTATTTCAAGTGCGTTTATCAGATCCAAGGGAATTAGCACGGCCGTGTGTTTAAGCAGAGCAGAAGGACGAGGGACGGGAACGAGGGGGAGGCAGCGAAGGTGAGCATACAAGGAGAAAAACAGACAGGAACGGGCACAAAATAGCACAGAAGGAGAAGAATACATGGAGGCAGAGAGACACATCCACCCCTGCTCCTGACATCAGCAGTGCGCGGGGAAAGATCCGAGGGGAGTGAGGGACGAGGAGGAGGAAGATAGCGCACACGCGAGAGAAAGAGAAAGAGAGAGAAGGGAACGGAAAGGAAGTGAGCAGGTAACTGTGGACGTGGAGGCTCTTCCCCCTCCCCCTCACGTTTCACCGAGAACACTGAGCAGATCCGGCCAGCAAACCGTGTGCCGAGTGTTTGCGCACAGACCTCTAGGCGAGGGGGTTTCCGCCGCCATGGCTCGTGGAGGCCAGCGAACGACGTCTCGGCAGGGCATGGCTCACTTCCTGTTGCGGTGCAACCTCAGCCCGGAGGCCCAGAAGTTGGTGGTGTTCGTCATCATGATGTTGCTGGTCATCATCAACGTAGTGCTGATGTTCCTGCTGGCCTTCCAGTAGGGCGCAGCCGCAGTGAGGAGAAAGAGCGAGGGGAGGGGTGGAGAGGAAGACAAGGAGGACAAGGAGGAGGAGGAGGGAAAGTTGGTCCCTCTCGCTCACTCGTGGATGGGTTTTCAGGATGCAGACATCACAGTGCAGGTAACAGGAATGGATGTGACTGTGTGTGAGGTTGGCGGCATTCAGCCAGAAGTAATATGCTGGGATGGCAGCATGTTAATTATTTACCAAACTGTAACCACTCTTGAGTGGCTTCTAGGGGTCAGGCTTTGATTTCATCTTTGAAGTCATCTGAGGGCACCTTTAGACGTTTTGTCTGCTTCTGTAGGTAGGTTTGGGTGTTTATGTGTGGGAGCCTTTGAATGACTGTGCTTGATTTCTTGTTGTGTAACTGTCAACTTATGGATCTATATGCTTTGATTCTGACTAGCGAGCACAATAAACATGGTGTTTTTGGCCCATGTGAGGCTTTCTTTTATGCTAGACTTTGTCCCAGAGGGATCTGCGCAGTCCTTTCACTGGTGAGCAAAAAAAAGAGGTCACACTGGTGAGCTTGACATGGTTATAGTGGGGTTATAGTTTAGTAGAGCAGCATGGTGTGAGGAATAAAAACCCAGAAGGAAACAAATGGGAAAATCAAACCAATGAACTTTGCATGGTTTGGCTCAGCAAAAATGGAATTCTGGAAATATTTGGATACTAGAACATCAAGACTAGTTTTAAAAACCTTGTTCATTCATGATCATTCATAATTTTCATTAGTTTTTTGTATGTTTGTACAATATGTGCCAGGGCTGTTTCTGATCATCTTTGAACAAACCAAGAAGCTGTAACTCACAGGCCGTGAAGAGGAGGCACATGGGAAAGTATGTGGGTGTGTCGCTAGGCAACAGGGTACATAGGCACAGCTGTGGTGATGAGAATGCTGAGCTCTGGATTCAGGGGGTGTATATTCAGCCTTTGAGTCCATCGGTGCTGTGAGCACAAAGTATGGACAGAGAACAGAGTGTGATTATTACATCAGCACCGATAGATCACGTTTAGCTGTGTAGCAGAGATGGTTTGATGGAGGCTGTTAAGCTTGCCAGGATTTCACTTCATTTTCTCTGTAGCCAAGCTGAACAGTGTGACAATATATTACCCTCCTTTTAGTTTACTTTGCCAAATCAATCCTTGCAAGCAGAAAGCGGAAACTTAAAATGACCACTCATTGAAAAAGCAGACTGCAGACAGAAAAGCCTTAATTTGGTAATTCTTTCTCCAGTGATACATTGCATTTTGGTTTTGGTTAAGTGCACAGAATGAAGGGTTGTATATCATTGCATGATAACACGTTATGCCATTGAGATACTAAAACAGGCAGTGAAATTGAATGCTCTGTGTTGTTACAAAGTATTTAAAAACATTTTTTAATTTTTTTTTGCAGCGTAGTAAGGCAAACGTTCATCCTTTAAATAGCATATATGTGTGTGTGTGTGTGTGGGGATATGATGAGTAATTAAAGCCATCCAACATTATAGTATAACTGAAAACCAGGCCTAAAACTTCACATTATCACATTGTTTTTATTTATCATGTATTAACAATTACATTTAATTTAGGTGAACTTAAAACAATAAATTGAAAAAATCAACACACTCTACATCAACAAATGGAAGAATAATTACTTCCATTTATTTGCACAAATATAATGAAGTAATAATTAATTAATGTTTACTAAAGCATTTTAATACTCTACATGAACATTGCTGAGTGATTATTGTGTTAACAGTTGAGTTTTGAATTTATTAGTGCTGTCAAACGATTAATCGCAATTAATCACATCCAAAATAAAAGTTTTTGTTTACATTGTGTGTACACTGTGTATATTTATTATGTATAAATACAAACACATGCATGTATATATTTAAGAAAAATATGTTGTTTATATATTAATTATTATTAAATATATTTATATGTAATATAAAATATAAGAATATAAATATATGTATATACATGTAAATATTTTCAAATTATATAGTGTATGTGTGTGTATTTATATATACATAATAAATATACACAGTACACATACATATATTATGTAAACAAAAGCTTTTATTTTGGATGCGATTAATCGTTTGACAGCACTAGAATTTATGCATTGACAGATAGTTTGATCTGACTTTTGTATTCATTTTGCAACTTGAAATTAATTTAGAGAATCCATTACATATGTCATGCAAAACTTCAAATAAAAAATGCATTAAAACCCTCACAATAGTGTTGTATATTTTAACACCTGCAAAATCCTAACAAATAAATTGTAAATATTCAATATATTTCTCAGCTCCAATGTAAACTGCATGTTGCTGTACAGTGTGTATTAAACAGCAAGAACAAACAAGTGTAAGAATTTCTATATACTAGTCACATAAATGAAATTAAGCAATGAAATGAAATGCAACTGTGATTAAAGGCTTATTACTTTTCATTTACATACACATTTGCTATTATACTCATATTAAAGTAGTTTCTGCTGTAATATGATCAGTTACATTATACAGGCAATGTTTTGCCATTCTGTTTTGCCTTCATCTTGTGTCTCAATAGCTGATCAGTGATGGCAGCGTGTGTGCGGAGGCTCTATGGGACCACGTCACCATGGACGACCAGGAGCTGGGCTTCAAAGCTGGAGACGTCATCGAAGTAGTGGACGCCACAAACAAGGAGTGGTGGTGGGGCCGGGTGCTGGATAGTGAGGGCTGGTTCCCCGCCAGCTTTGTTCGGGTAAAGGAGAACAGATTTCCCGCTCATAACAAAAAAATTGGATTACTGTCACATTATGTCATCACTATATTACATTAGGCTAGAATGAGGGGTCATCAGTACACCAGTGTTCTTTTTGCCAAGTACATTGGTAAAAGCCACTGCACAGTGAACATTTAGGACCAGATTTACATGCTTGAGACCACAATCCCATAAGAGCGCCAACGGGAGTGGAAAGTTCTGCAGGTGATCCTGATGACAATGTGGAAATTAAAGAACACAGACGCAGTCAGATCATTTCCATAACGACCAACGCAATCAACCAAGAGCAGTGCAAGTTATTGCAGATTTTAAGCACAAAATGGGTTAAGACATGCTTTTCTGGCATGTTAAATAATTGCACAAATGCCAGTAAATTGACTACTGCAGACCTAAATCGCATTGCATGATTTATTCAAATACTCTCCTCCCATAAATTTTGAACCTGCAAATGTATATGCAGTAAGGTCAGCCACAAAAATAACTGTCAGTACCTTTTCATCTGTAATTTTTCACTGTCTTTAGTAAATCCTGACGGTATTAACCTATTCGTTATTGGTAGTTACGGGTGAACCAAGATGAGCCCATGGAGGAATACTTAGCCCATCTGGACGGGGCCTCGGAGGGGGGTGGGGCCAGCATGGGGGGCCCCTTAGGGCCCAGTCTGCCCTGCAAGGAGCAGATGAGAGCCAACGTCATCAATGAGATCATGAGCACAGAGAGGGATTACATCAAACACCTGAAGGACATCTGTGAGGTCAGTTTGCCACATGGCTCTGATCAATCGGTTCTACTTCAGCATGTGGATCTTGTTTCAGAGCATTACAATGTCTATAGAGTCACTCGGCTCTCTGTTTACATGCTGAGAGAATGACCTGATTCATATCAGCTGCTCCATAATCCAACTAGCTTTGCTATAGCATTAAACCTTTGACTTACTCACTTTGGCTTCCAGGGCTATATAAAACAGTGTCGGAAGAGGACAGATATGTTTACTGAGGAGCAACTGCGCACTATCTTTGGGAACATCGATGAGCTCTACCGTTTCCAGAAGAAGTTTCTCAAAGCCTTGGAGAAGAAATTCAACAAAGACCATCCTCACCTCAGCGAGATTGGCTCCTGCTTCTTAGAGCACGTAAGCTGACTTCGATGTAGGCGTTAATGTAAGATGCAGTTAGGTTTGGATTTTTTATTCTGTTCTATTCTATTTATTTTCCCTTTCAGCAAACAAACTTCCAGATCTACTCTGAGTATTGCAACAACCACCCCAATGCCTGCGTGCAGCTCTCCAAA